ACTGGTTTTTATAGCCCCCCCCCCCCCCCCCCCCCCCCGGCCGCCCCCCTTTTCGCCGCTTTATTTATTTTCCTCCTAAGCTAGAAGGTACTTAATTTATAACTTACCCCTGATGTCACGACAACGTCACGGGAGGCATTCCCAATAAATTCTAGTGTGTTCAGGTTGTAGTTTCTCGCCATTTATCTACAGCCAGGGTTAGGGTTAGGATTAGAAGACACTAGATGAACACTCAAAAAAAAAAAAAAAAAAAAAAAAAAAAAACAACAGCACACTTCCACCCCTTTAAATAATGGACTGTCAGGTCAGCTGTGGATTTCCCACGGGGATTTCGTGTTTGGGGTACGGTATAAATTAAGAACCAGCTAGAATGACCTAAGCTCTCAGATAGGTACTAGACAACTTATAAGGGAATTGTGTGGAGAAGAAAGGGGGTGATGAATGGACCAGGCAGCCTCATCTCATAATGTTGCCAAGAAAACGTAAACACCTTATATTTCTTTTCACCCTTGCTGTATTGCAGAAGTGCATGGTTGAAGACCCTCCATCCAGTTACTGTCAAAGTTAGTTGCATATCCTTTACAGGATGTTGCAGAACCAACCATAGCTAGTATTTTTTTGACTGTTTGATTTCTTCACAATTTTATGTTTAATAGTTAGCGATTGCTAACTGAATGGATGGCTCTCAATCACATTGTTGAAACCGGCACAAGGCTGTTTGCTGCCAAAACGTTCACAGTGCCTGAGCCACGGAGACTGCCCTTGCAGTCATCATGTGCTTTGTCAAATGCTCTAGGCATTTTCTGTCTGTGCCTAGATCTTAGCAACTTTGAGACACACACAGTTCCGAAGATATAGTGGTTCTTTTTCTTCTGCACCTACCCCAAGAGTATACATGTGACAGCTACACTGTCTGTCAAGGCCAGTGTCTTGTTCTGCTCAGAACTCAAGTTCTGGAGCAGGACAAGTCCCAAAGTGGACAAACAGCCAAAAAGATTCCACTGAAGTTTACGGCTGGTGAACCTTAGAATAAGTCTTACTCCATCAGAGACTTTATCTCCAGATTTGCTTTTGCCAAGCAGTTCTACAATCCCTAGCTTCTGCTTCTTGTAGCTTTAATTCCCTCTGTCCCAGGGAGCCGAACTTAAAACACTAAATGTTTTGGTTAAACCTAGACACTATGGGTGGAAGCAGGTCAACTAATGATGATTCTTCTTCTTAGCTCACCTGGCTGTTCGTCCACTGCTGGACTTTAGTCTTTGTCAAAGACCTGAGTGTTGCATGCACAACCATTTTACAGATCTTTCTTATTTGTATGCAGATTGTTGGTTTCTTGCATTTCAGGCTGATGCACTCTGACTTTAAATGAAGCCCAAAATAAGTAGACTCTTACGACATGTTCTTTGGGGAGGCAGTGGGTCTATTCCTGAGTTCCTCAAAATAGGGATTTAGATACTGTGGAATAATTCAGTGACTGTCTGTGATAGAAAACATTACATTACTTAGGAATTATTGTGTTCGGTACTGAAAGAGTTCAAGCATTTCTGTGAGCGGCAGTTGTTTTATGAAGTAAAGTGCTACTTCCATTTTAGCTGTTTCAGTGACTTTGCTTAACATTTTGTTTTGTTGTGTTGTTTGTCTTCATTCATCATCATCTGTTGCCTTGCTGATTGGCATAGGCGATCATGCCTCTCCACACACAATCTGTGATCTCCTGCAGCATGTATCAGTTCGTGTGCCGACACACCTCCATGCCATGCAACAAGACTGTTTAGAATCTTCTCTCGTTATCTTCCTCTATCCCTCCTTCTGCAGATCTTTCCAGTGGTCACAACATGTTTTATTTTCCGTCTTGTCACAACATGGCCGAAAAATGTCTCCTTCTGATTTCTGTGATAAGTTGTCTTCGGGCTCCCGCCTCTTTCAAAACCTCTTCGTTGCTTTTTGTGTGCCTGTCCAAGGTATTCTAAGCATTTTTCTGTAAAACCACATCTCTGAGGCCTCAAGAAATTGTTTGGCCTGCCTACCGATTATCCAGGATTCATTGTCTGCATGTATTTTTTTTTTTCAGTGCTGGTGTGTGCCAGTCATTAATAGTTATCTTGTGAGTAGCATGATAGATTGATTTCAATGTTTTCCCTCATGTTTGAACTCATTACTGTACTCTTTTCTTTAGCCTTTTCTTCACACCTCCCCCCTCGGCTCAGTTCGTTCTCTCTTCTCTCTCTGCCCCACCCTGTTTATATGTCAGTCTCCATATTCTCTCCCAGGGGTGTGTATATATATGCATGCCTGTCTCTATAAGATCTTAGTAACACATACAGGTGGTTGAACTATTATTGTGCCTTGCATAGCCTTCCTTCACACTCTTTATCTCTCTCTGTACGTTTTATGTATGTCAGTCTCTCCCCAGCGAACTCTACCTCCCCTCCCTCTCTAGCTCAAATATTCAGCCATCATCCATGTCTCATATTCACTAGTTGACTAAGTCCCTGCTCACTAGAGGGAAGCTGGCCAGTGTTAAGTACTTTACCAGGTAACTACTAGACAACTCCCAGCATAATCAAGTGGCAAGACATATGCTTGTACAGGATTCTTTCTGCAGCCTAAAGTGGATTTGATGGAGGTTACAGCTCCTTTGATGTCCTCAACAGCTTTAAGCCTGCTTCCTTTTTGCCATGCTTGTGTATGTGAATCAAAGGGGAAAAAAACTAGATCAAAAGCTTTAAAAAGAGTTGGTTAAGGGGGGGGGGGGGGGGGGGTAAAATATATTGAAGTTTGCTTTAAGTTAAAGCAGTTTCCTTTCAAAAATTGAGATGTTGCATATAGGAAGGAGTTGTTGTTTATGGATTTTTTTTCTGTGTGTTATGACTGAGGCTTGGTAATGTGTTTGTCTTTGATCTCTGGAAAGATTGGAAAAACAGGGTGAGGATATAGAAATGAGGGAGTAATTTTTATATAGATACTGGTAGTTTGAATTATATGCAGTGCTGATTAAGTATATAGGGGTGTGAGTTGGATTGTGGTTAAGTTGGTATTTGTGTAGTGGGCATTCCCAGGGATTTTCATATTTGTTATTATTGTAGGCTTATACAAGAGTTGCATCAACTATGATTAAAGCTCAGCATATCACAAAGGGTGTGTGATGTAGCTTCTTTTTTTTTTTTTCCTACTTCTTCTTTGCTGCTTGTGTTTTTTTTTTCATCATCTTCATCATCTTGTTTTTCCTATGTTTGATTAATTGTGTCAGCAGTTTATGTTCTTATGTAGTAAGGAAGCTCATGGTCTTGTCTTTTTCTTATCAAAACATTTTCTGTGGGAATATTTACTTCTTTCTTATCATTCACTGACTAGAAACTCCGGTGGAAAGTTCTGGTTGTTTTTCTGCTTCTGGACTTGAGTCTGGTTCCAGAATTTGAGTTTTGTGTGCTTATCCATTTTAAAAATCTGGCTTATTTGTCAGGCAGATGCCATCCAATTTTAAATGAAAATAGACCTAGTAGTCAGCTATTACGACATGCATGTAAGGGGTCAGTGAGTCTATTCTCATTGGGGAGAAACATTAATTAAGCTATAATAGGGTTGATAAGATGGAGCAACTAATGATATACATTGCTGACTTCTTACCACAAGTTAGTTGCGTTTATTCCTTTACATGAGGTTGCAGAACTTACCCCAGCATTTTTTGGGGCATTGTAGCATTTTAAAGCATATTTTATGTTCAATGGTTTGCCGTTGCTACTGAGTGGTCAGCTTTTGATACAACTGTAGAAACCAATGCAAGTTAGGATCTAACCTGGCATTACAAAGCGGGTTGGCAAGGCTTAAGTCACAGACACTGACTCTTACTACAAGTTTAAGCAGTGATCTTGGAGCCTAATGAATCATTTTCTGCAGATCCTTATTTGGTCTCTTGACACAGTTTAATTTTGTTGAGCTTCTGAAATAAACCTGTTCGATTTCTGCCTTGAGAAAATTTGCTCATGGCTACCAGAAGTGTGGGAGCTGACATAGCTAGCGCACTTGCCTGCCTGCACAATAGCTGTAAGTTTAAACTCTTGTCAATGCTAAATTTTCAAGCTTTCCCCGCCTTATATTGTCAGATTATTCAACCGAAAGCGGGTGCAGAAAACTTCATGGAAAGTAAAATAGCCAGTTTTGTTGAAATTAGAGACAATTAACATATGCTTGTCAAACATTGTATTGAAAATGTGTCTTTTACTTTAACTTTACTACAGTCATGAGTAATCTATAATAATGGAATATGTTAGTGTAACAGTAGCAGAAAAACAAAGATGCGGTTTTATAAATGAGTGGCGGAATAGCAAACATAATGACACTTTCTCAAATATTGAATTTTTATAATATAATTTTTTAAAATTAATTAAAAGTAACCATTAAAGAAAATATCTTTATGTATATATTCTCCTGCCACTCATTTCTAAAAACGGTATCTTTGTTATTCCTGGTATGTTCTTCCAAGCAGATAGGGAGTCTGAATCTTCAAATACATTATGTAATTTTTTTTGGTCCTTACCCGTTTTAGCATACAAAAATATATATCTCGATGTGGAGTTTGCGGCTAGACACCCGCCTGCAGATTGGAAGGTCGTGGGTTTGCGTCCTGATGGAGCCAGACTTTTTCAAACATGACCTCGACCTTCAGATCGACCCTGCCTTAAGGAGGTACCAGGTGCAGTCCTTGAAAGTAAAGGCGGGTGGCTTGATGCTGACCATATCCACCAACAAGAGTTGATTGGTCTATACAAATATAGCTCTAGCCTTGTATTCTCAATACACCTAAAGGTGTGGAAAAGGGACCTTTACCTTAGCTTGTAAAATGTATACCCTGAAGTGTAACACGTGTCACTGTGTGTGTCTTAGTGAATATCAAAGTGTAATTCTGTTGCTTTTCATTTTTACAGATCAAAAATTGATGGATGACTGACACCGGGTGTGAAACCTTTAGGCCCTCATGGAACGTCATTTATTGTCTTGCCATGGCTACAAAAGTTGTTGACTTCTTGAATGAGTCTGGTGGGAGCAATTTTACAGAAAGCGCACCACGGCCACCTACCTACGGTGAAGAAAATGAGCTTCAGTCCAATGGAGGGAACTCTACAAAGAGTAGTAACTCTCACAAGAGCCACGGCTCAAACAAGTCACACTCTTCTACCAAGAGTGTTGCTTCTGCCAAAGGGGATCATGTTCACTCGCCGGCAAGCACACCCCGAAAGTCTAACCTAGAAGGGAATAGGGCAGCTGATTCCATGACGGGTACAGTGGCTCCTGCTAAAGGTAAATATGAAGATGGCGAGGCAGTGGCAGCTCCGCTGGGGTTTGAACCTGAAGGCAGTGCAGCTAACTCGCCTCATTCGGAAGGTACTCCACCTCATTCTAAATGGGCAGAGTCCCTCAGATGCCTTCTGGAAGATTCTGAAGGTGTGGCATTGTTTAGAGACTACATGGACCATGAATTGCCCGGAGGTTCAGAAGAGCTGCAGTTTTGGTTTGCTTGTCAAGGATTGAAAAAGACTATAATCAACTCTAAGGAATTAGATCATTCAATAACTAACATCCAGAAGGTCATCTACAAGCGATATGTGCGCAGCGATAAAGTCAGATCCATCACAAAAACAGTAAAAAGAGATATAGCTGAAAAAGTTTCCAACAGAAATGTTATAGACCCGTGTATATTTGATTCAGCACAGGAGGAGGTAGAAAAATCTATGCAGTCTACGGCGTACCCATCGTTTCTGGCATCTCATTACTACACTGAGTACCTTCATGCTGATACAGACAGTCCAAAGTCTAGTCCTTCTAGTGGATCTGACAGCGCCAGACCCGTATCTCAGACGGGTCTCCTGCCAGTCGTCCATGAGGACAAGGAGTTAAAAAATGAGGACTTACACGCGTCCTTTCAGGTGCCGGTGATGAATAAGGGATCATCAACTGGAAAAAGAGCACCATCTTCTTCTTCACTACGGCATGCGGAAACTGTTACTGGGTAAGTACAGTTCTTTTTTATTTTTGTTTTGGAAGTCAGCATGTCAGAAAATAGTTATCAGTATCATGTTTGCCATGGGTGACAGCTGTCTGTGCAGTATCAGAAAATATTTATTATTGTCATGTTTGCTGTGGGTGACGACAGCTGTCTTGCAGTGTCAGAAAATATTTATCATCATCATGTTTGCTGTGGGTGACAGCTGTCTTGCAGTGTCACAGAATATTTATCAGAATCATGTTTGCCGTGGGTGACAGCTGTCTTGCAGTGTCAGAAAATATTTATCATTATCATGTTTGCCATGGGTGACAGTTGTCTTGCAGTGTCAGAAAATATTTATCATTATCATGTTTGCCATGGGTGACAGTTGTCTTGCAGTGTCAGAAAATATTTATCATTATCATGTTTGCCATGGGTGACAGTTGTCTTGCAGTGTCAGAAAAAATTTATCATTATCATGTTTGCTGTGGGTGACAGCTGTCTTGCAGTGTCAGAAAATATTTATCATTATATCATGTTTGCCGGTGACAGTTTTTTAAATTGACTTCCTGGTCGACCCAGTCTAAAATGGGTACAAGAGGCCTGGAAGAAAAGGCAGCTAAAGTGATGTTGACCACATTAGCCTCTCCCCCCCCCCTCCCCCCCTTTCCCTCAAATACCAGTTGAGCTATAAAAGTACGAATCTCACACTATATACCAGATCTGCCAGGGGCATGAGAACAGTTCCTTTACTTTTTATCATTAAAACGGTTCCTTTACTTTTTATCATGAAAACGGTTCCATTACTTTTTATCATGAAAACGGTTCCTTTACTTTTTCACCATGAGAACAGTTCCTTTACTTTTTAGTTTGTGCTCACCATGCATTGATGATGGTGAGAGAGAGAGAGAGAGAGAGATTACAATAAATAGGGTGGCAGCTGAAAAACGTTTACTCCTGGCGGAGATTTACTTTCTTAGATGAATGCTGAGAATATCATGGGAGGATAGAACAACAAAGCCGTCCACAATGAGACAATTGAAAGTCGTAAATTTATACATAAACAGTCAATGTGAGAACTTAGCTAGCAGCTACCAAGAAAGACCTCGAGGAAGGCATAGAAACTGGTAATGGCCTGGCCAATTGGATGGGGCAAAACGAAACAAATTGAACTGATGTTATTCTGGTGATTGTGCGAGGTGGTGAAACATGGCAGCCTACGGTTACCGGCACTGCTCCTGATGATGGTGATGAGAGCAAGACAAGATAGAACTTGCTGTGCTGGAGCTGCAACATCCACCCTAATTAAAAGTAAGTCATCAAAGGACCTGGCTTGAGTAGGTTGGCATCATGCTCCCGAGATAAAGGGAGAGACAGAATACAATAAATGCTGTTTGCTGCTAAAGTTTTGATGCGATTAGGTTTGCTAGTTTCTTACCAACCCTCCTTAGTTGCCTCTTATGGCATGTATTGTAATAAAAGTGTTACCATTATTGACTTCCTTTCATATGGAAAATCAAATAGAAGATTAACTAGGCAATAGAAGGGAGACCAACTTTCCTTTACATGTGTGTCATAAAAGACACTAATGAAGGTTTTGCTGAATCTGAATTTTATTCGGCTGAAACATGCAAATATCACAGCCTATCTTTAAACAACAGTACAGTATGTCTGCTGTCTATGTGAAGGCAGATAAAGGTTGAAGGAAATGACAAGTGCACTTTAAACACATATCCTTCTGGACCTATGGTTCCCAAAAAATTTTGCCCACCACACCCATTTTAATGAAAAATATGCTCAGCCCACCCAACCCCTCCCCTCCCCAATCAGTACACATAATCATCATGTACCATGATGAAAAGCACAGGTGATAAAGATTAGCCATCCTAAACAATCAGCAAAAGTTTCAGCTTTAGACCTCCTTTCGCTCAGTTGAAAGTATGAGAAAAATAACAGAAAACTCAAAAATAGCATTTATTATAATGAGAAGAATGAACCTAATTGGTTATAACATTATTATTCTTTCAACTGCAACTGAGTCTACTTACCTCCTACACCACCCTTTGCTCAGCCCCCCCCCCCCCCTCCCCCAGATTTGATCAAAGCTGCTACCACTCCCTCTAGGTCTGTGCCAGCCCCCTCCCCCACTTTCGGAAACATTGATTTAGACAAGACTTGTTTCTTTCCTGCTGTGTGATTATTCTAGAGTTTTGATTCCTCATGTGTTTGAATCATTTATGTTTTTCTTGTTGTTCCCTAGTGTGCTCCCTCATGAATACATCCTTGCTGTCACTGTTAAAATTGTTGGTTCAGAACCTGTCAATTTATATCTCATGTTTTCGTGTAAAAAGATGTTAAGGCAGACCTGCTAAAATAAGTAGTGTGTATTTCTAGTATGAATTACAAGTTCGGATGCTTTGGCTAAAGAGAAAAATGCTGATTGAGGGCTACAGGAGTTGAGGCTCTAATGTTTTTGATCATTGTTCAGATAATAAGTAGTATGTTTGTTCAGATGACTGGACTGAGTACTGTTCAGTTTGTGGATTGAGTTCTCTTCACTGGTTCTGGCTTGAATGTGTTCACATAGTGCAGCATAGTAACACCTGTCAGTAGGGAATTCTTTCAAATTATTGTATAGTCTGACATGGTGCTTTTATATGTTTTATCTTTGCATTTGTTGAGTAGATCTGCTAGTATTGGTTTTGCTACTTGCTAGTTATAACTCTCTGTTGGCTGCAGCAGGATTTATAGTGCTTTTCTCAGTTTATGACATCTCTCAGCATGTCAAGGTAAACATCTTTAAACACAAACATTCTTTTTTGATGTGCATGTCCATCAGTGTGTAATATAGATTGTGTATATTTTATGTATAGATGTCTAAATATCTGCTTGCCTAATATACTGCAATATTAGTGCATTTCTTTACCAGATCAGTGATTTTGGAAGGACTCCTCTTAATAAAATGGGCATTTACCTAAATTGGTTTAAAAAGGAAGGGTGGTAAGGAAGGCAATAGTTTTATGATGTTATGGTGTGGTATTTGTGAATGCCTATCACCTGCTATGGGACCATCTTTATGTTCTCAAGTCATTCCTCCAACAAGACATGTAGATAGATAAGTTAATATCAGTGTACTACTATTTTCATTAGTCAACTTTATTTCAATGCTAATAGTGACATTTGTTTTCCAGATCAGCAATTTACCCCTTGAAACGGCCTTATTACCCGACCCACATATCATATGCTCCGGTATCAGCACAGGATAGTGAACTACAGAGCTTGTCTAGTGATGCCCTCACAGATGACACCATGTCGGTCACTGATGGCAGTGTGTAAGTACATATAGTTTCTGTTTATGTTGTGTCCTCTGTGTATGTAATACTTTGTCTAGTTGCTTCTGTAGATATGCAGTTCCTTATGTTATTGATATATGTCATCAGGTATCTGATGGTATTGATTATTTCCTCACTATGTATTTGTAAATGTATCTTCTTGTAGTAAATGTTCGTTTCCATATAGGAGTTTTAAGTATGATCTGTAAAAAGAATTCGATAATTGTGTCAAATTCATCTAATTCAGCGGTTCTCAGCCTGTGGGTCATGACCCCTTTGGTTGTCGAATGACCCTTTCAGAAAAAGCAAAAATAATTTTAATTTTTCATCACAACATGAGGAACTTTTTCACGTTCACCAGCTGTACACTCTGGCGGAAAGTTCTGGTTGCTCATCCACTAGTGAACTGTAGTCCTGCTTCAGAACCTGAGTGTTGCGTGTGCATCAGTTTTACAGATTTCATTCTCTTGAATACAGATTGTTGGTACCTTGCCTCTCCGGCAGATGCACTCCGACTTATTAAAAGGTCGCTGTATTGAACGGCTGAGAACCACTGATCTACTATTATGTAGTCTGAGTGATATTTAGTAAATTACTATTGGATGTTGCTCCGGGTGATGTTTCCTTTGTAGTGTAATCTCAAGGATTTAACATCTTTGCACATGTAGAGCGCTACTCCTCCCTGTAATTTGTCTTGAATTAATGTGTTGTGTTTGATGCAGTAGAGCAAGGCTATTATTCAACTAAGTTTGCCCAGGGCCCACATTTGAGAAAATAAGGGTCATCGTGGGCCAGAGACATGTTTGAAGATAAAAAGATAATTAATACAGAACAACTAGCAGTGATCCATGGGCCTCTTACTAGACAGGCCACCAGTTGAGTGTACTGCCAAATATTAAAGACAATTTGCTAGTCATTGAGCTGCTCGTTATGAGAGCTCATGAATGGAAAACTTGCAAAGTGGCAACATATGGTTAGTTGCGTATCTTTTACAGGACGTTGCAGAACCAACCCCAACAGCTCCTGGCTGTTGTGTGGTTTTTTCTAGGCAAATTACGTCCAGTAGTTTGCCATGGCAACATATACAGTATAGTAAGCCAGATTTGAGAAGCCAGATTTCTTTAGTATATTACAACAGAGTGTGAAAAGGAAGAGATCAAATTATGCTGTGGGTAAAACCATGTAATAAGAGTCATTTAAACACAAATCATTGTGCTTGGGAGCAGGAGAGTTTATTAATGCAGCAGTTCTTTGATTCCATTGTCTGAGTGCTGAGAAAATATTCATAAGCAGGGCTGCCAATAGAATTTTTTTTCTAAAAAAAAAAAACAACCCCAGTTTAGCTATAAAAAAAAATCAAACATTACATAAACAAAAAAAAACCACACCCCAGATTGTTAAAATGTACAAAATTTAAAGTTACAAAACATTTACCACTTTTATATAAGAATACATAAAGAAAAAGAAAATCCAGATTTTCCCAAGTCATCATATAAAAACCCAGGTCTGGGGTGGGGAAGTGTCCCAGCATTAGTAGCCCTGTTCATAAGTATTTGTTTTACTATTGGTTATATGAATGTGACAGATGACAGTATATGAATGTGACAGATGACTGTCTATTCAGAGATCACATTTATTCTTGGTATTGAAGGTTTTGCTGAATCTGAATTTTATTCGGCTGAAAGGTGCAAATATCACAGCCTATCTTTAAACAACAGTACAATATGTCTGCTGTCTATGTGAAGGCCTTTCCTTCCGTCAGAGATCACATATTTTCTTGGTATTGAATAGATGAATGTGATAGATGACTGTGTGTAGAATCAGAGATCACATTTATTCTCTGTATGGTCTTGATTCTTTTCCTTCAAGTTAATTTGGCTGGTTTATGTTTAGTTTTCTTGCCTTGTGATAGTTTAAAATGCCTAGTTTTTCTCTTTGAAGATGTGTGTCAAAGTGCCTTTCCTGCCAAGTGATGGCTTGTGTATGTATGTGGTTGGGGAGACTAATTGGTCTTTGTTAACTTTTATAAAATTTTGTTTTCGATGATTTAAACTCCCCATCATCATTAGGTTGATTAATTTGTCATTGCACATTAATAATGTTATGTTAAATGAAAAACCACATAAAGAATACAATCGCAACACTACATACACCCTGTCCTCTCGACTACCAGATAATAATTCAGTCTCTTCTTGGTTGGACCCTCTCAAACCGTTGTTGTTTGGTCTTGATGTTGTCCTCCTATTTGTATCGATGTCTAGCTTTTGTCTGCTTATCTATCCAGTATGTTTTTAAAAAAAAAAGATGATTGGAGATGAACGGATGTTTTTTTAAAATTAGTTTTTAAAAAAAATAGTTTAGGTGGAAGTGTTTAAAAAAAAAAAAACACCTTGAAAGTATTTAATTTACTCATGGGTTCACCAACAGGTGGGTTTAAGCACTTTGTTTGCCTTCATTACTGCTGGTTCCCTTTCAGTAGTGGTGTTCCTTTTAGATATTTTCCTGTGATTAGTGCATTTGATAAACCGTTTACAAGTCTGTATATCTCCTGGAGATGAGAAAGATAATGTCTGAACACCTGGACCAGGAGAAGTGTGTTCCAAGTAACTTTGTCATACAGGAATGCTCCCGTGGATGTGAACACTTGTAAGTTGTGAGGCCTGGTCTGGACAGTTGTTTGCGGCAGTAAGTTTGTTAAAAAAAAAAAAAAAATTTGTCCTGGCGGCAGACCCAACAAGGCATATGCCAGATATTCCGCTCCCACCTCTAAATAAAAGAGCAATAGAGCACCCGTCATATCTACACTGGCCAGATGTAACGTGCAGACCTGCGCTGGTCAGGACGAATAAATCGATTGGCACCTTTCCTTCCGTCTTTCCAGATGATAGTGTTATGTTGTGTTTTGAGGAGGCATGGAACCCACAGCCCATGGCGATGGCGAGTATAACTTGCAAGACCTCGCCCGCCAATTACAATCAGGAATAAAGTTTTTCGTCCTCTCCATAGCACAAAGTCTGTGCTGTATTGTAAAGTTTTTCGTCCTCTCCATAGCACAAAGTCTGTGCTGTATTGTAGAGACCATATGTTTGCCCATACATCATGATCCCTTCTCGACCTGCTTTGTTTACTACAAAGGAAAGGTAACATTAGTGCTCTATCTATCCGTCTGTCAGAACTTCCCTCCTAGACCAGCAGGCAGCCAAGGGTAAGGGTCTGGTCTGTCCTGCCAAATAACATAAACTTTTAGGTTGCATTTCCTCTTCCTAGGATAAGGCTAGTAGTATCCTCTCCAATGTGCTCCTCCGCCCGAAGCCGTTGGTACGATATGTGATGTCAGGTTTGGTATACACCGCCCAACATTCGGCGTCACAAAAGGCAGGTGGTAACGGCTGAGGTTGTATATACGGCAGCTCAGTCATATCTGACTAAGACCTGAAACATAGACAACGAATAAATAAATAGTATATCGGTAAATGACTTCTCATAGAGGCGTTCCTATGTTTGTATGTGTCTTATTGTTCGATCCTAGACTGTCTTCATTATTATCCTGACCTTCATAAGTATGTATTGGTGGACACTGTGTAGTGTGTAAGAAATAATCTATGCAGCAGTGTGTGTTTAGACACCGCGAAACAAGACACCAATAATGTTTTTTCACTTCAAAGCCACGAGTGACACACAATCGCTAATATGACAGCATGCAGTATAAAACCTTGTGCTCAAACATCGGACGTGGAAAGCCGTATCAAAGGGCTCCCGGCTGTGACAACGTTCCGCATCGCAGCTGTTCATTTGCCTCACATCTGCTCGTTTGATATAAAACTGGTAGTAAAAACTATATCAAACGACTGAAGCTTTTCAGTTAACCTGTCCTGTTTATCTAACCCCGCCCCTCTCTCCGCTTTCCCTTCTTCATTTCCGGTGTGTTTTTATAGCACGCCGCCCGGCGGTGTCTTTCATCTCTTTGTCTTGGCTTGTTACTTTTATACGCGGATGGCTGAGAAGTGAAAAGAAACCCATCTCCAGCGCTTTGATCACTGGAGCGTAACCGACAGGCAGTTTGATCTAAAGTGCGCTGTAGGTGTGCACCCGTCTTTTCCCTCGCCTTTCCCGGCACTGTGCCGAGTGGTATATGTGATTAATTATCTTCCCAGCTTGTAGAAAAAAAGGGAAAGGGGGGGGGGGGGGGCTGGAATTAGCTTTTCAAGTGATTTCTTGATTTATGTTGTTACTCGATATAGTTCTGTTTTGGTGTGGTTTTTTTTGCACATTAAAATAAAATAAAACAAGTCCGTTCGTTTAATGTTCAGAATTTTTTAATATTCAGGTTTTAAAATTTAGATTATGACGAGGGATCAATCATCGTGGCACAAGTAACCCATAAGTGCTCCGTTCTAATTCTGGCTAAGAATCTCAGCTCAGGGCACGAGCTCCGTAGCACTGGCGAGGATCCTGAAATACTTTGGGTAGATTTTTAAAATTCAGATTTTGTTTGCCAGGGCAGCGCGGTTAGGCAACAGAGACCAGAAGGAATTACTAGAAGTCCACAGGAAAAAAATCCCAGCCTTCAAAGGGGACCTGAACCCGGGACCTCCAGCACTGTCGGCTGACGCCATGGCTCGAGACCACCTGAGTGTATCCGGAGTTATCAGTTGGTACTCTTTTTCTCTCAGGGATCTGTCGTGGTATAGCGGCTAGACGCTCGCCTGCCGATCGGAAGGTCGTGGGTTCGCCTGCTGGCGGAGCTGGATATTGGGGGGGGGGGGGGGGGGGGGGGGGGGCTTAGCTCACAAGTTGTCAGAGCTTTAAATAGCTACCAGGTATATACCTGGGAAGTTAAGGCGACCGGCTTAATGTTGACCACCACATCACCCACCGAGTGCGGATTGGTCTATAACATATAGGTCTAGCTGCTATATATGCTCAATACGCCTGAGGGCCTGGAAGAGGGTCCCTCAAGTTCTTAGATTGGTTCTTTTATTTTATTTCACCCCATCTCG